GTTTAGGGTTTAGGGTTTAGGGTTTGGGGTTTGGGGTTCTGGGGGTGGGCTGCGGCGACGGCGGCGGCCCTGGCGCTGCGATTCCTGAAAGCTGTGTTTTTCGTGCAGAGCTAGCATGTGCCGAGGGTTTAGGGTTTAGGGTTTAGGGTTTGGGCGCAGGACATGGCGATGGAGCAGTACATTGACGAAGTGCTGAAGCGCGAAGGCCCCAGGGGTTTGATGCTGGCGGGGGCTGTGGCGCCTCCCACGGAGAACTTGCCCAAAACCCTAGACAAGCGTGTAGGGTTTAGGGTTTAGGGTTTAGGGTTTAGGCTTTAGGGTTTTTGCAGGTGATTCACCGGTTTCTGGGCGTGTGGGCCTTCGACCGCAGCCGCAGCAGCAGCATGTCCCCCATTACTGAGCATTTGGGGGTTCCGTGGTTTATTCGAAGTGCTGTCGAAACCCTAAACCCTAAAATAGAGTATTCTCTCGAAGACAAACACGGAGTTCCCGAGTTCGCCATCACCACCACCCTCACTGCAGGAGTCTCCAAGGCACGAGGGTTTAGGGTTTAGGGTTTAGGGTTTGGGGTTGGCGTTGGGGTTTAGGGTTTGGGGCTTGGGTTTGGGGTTGGGGTTTTGAGCTGCGAACTCGCGGCCCCGACGGAGGGTCTAGCGCGTGACACCTAGGGTTTAGGGTCTACGGTTCAGGGTTTAGGGTTTAGGGTTTAGGGTTTAGGGTTTAGGGTTTGCGTGCAGACGGTGCGGCTGAACCTGGGTGGCGCTGCAGTGGAGGCTGAAGACGAAGACGTGGGGGCCTGGAGCAGCAGCAGCAAACTGGAAGGAAATGTTTTGAAAACAATTCAAAGAAATGCAGCGCAGCAAGCCACTCTTTTCGAGACTCGCGAGATCAAACCCGACGGACACGTGAGCAGCAGCAGCAGCAGCAGCAGCAGCAGCAGCAGCAGCGGCAGCAGCGGGCGCGCAGGGGCGCTTCTGCTGCAGCCTGCGGCTGTTTGCTGCAGCAAAGTAGACTCAAGTGAAACGCATGCATGCACGCATGCATGCATCCATGCATGCAGCCAAATAAACCCCGCCGCTGCTGCTGCTGCTGCTGCTGCTGCTGCTGCTGCAGGGCATGGAGACTGACGCGCTGTGGTACCGCGTGACTTTGCGCAAAGAAGGTCTTCCTGGAGAAGTCTCTGCTGTCCGCGTCTTCAAAAGAATTTCCGGACCGCCCCCGGGACTCTGCGTGCGTCTGCATGCATGCATGCATGCATGCATGCGTGCATGCATGCATGCATGCGTGCACGCATGCATTGTTGTGCATGCGTTGTTGTGCATGCGGCTGGTAGTTGCGTTTCTTTTGCTGCACGTGCATGCATGTATGTATGCATGTGGCTATTAGTTGTTTATTTTGCTGCGCACGCATGCATGCATGCATGCATGCATGCATTGTTGTTTAGAGGGGCTGCTGGGGTGTCTGTGCAGAGCGGCTAGCTGCTGCTGCCTGCGTGCATGCATGCGTGCTTGTCTTGTGCATGCTGCTGCTGCTGCTGCTCATGCTGCTGCTGCTGCTGCTGCTGCTGCTGCTTCGCAGGATGGAGGCCCTGAAGCAGCAGCAGACTCGGAAGGCTCTGCCTCTACAGCTCCCTCGCCCGCGAAGCCGCTAGAGGGGGAGGAGGCGCAGCAGCAGCAGCAGCAGCAGCAGCAAGGGCAGCAGCAAACGGAGAAGAAACAGCAGCAACAAGAACAGCACCAAGATCGGCAGCAGCAGCAGGAGCAGCAGCAGCAGCAGCAGCAGGAAGAGGAGCAGAAGCCGGAGCAGCCGCTGCCGGCCTGGCACAGATTCAAATCCAGGGTTCGCATGAAATAAAGAACTTAATTTTTAGAAAATAATTTTAATATGTTTAAAGTTTAGTTAAAATATTTTAAGTTTATAAATTAAACCTTTTAAAATGCTTTTGTGAAAAAGGGGCCTTCAGCTGTCTGTACAGCGCATTACGTGCACTTTGCTGCCAGTTTCTGCGCGGCGAGTGATGACAGCAGCAGCAGCAGCAGCAGCAGCAGCAGCAGGCGTCCCTTTTACGTCCCCCGTTGCAGAGCTGCATGCATCTCTGCTGCTTCTGTTTCGGCCGCTGCTGGTGTTCCGCTGCTGCTGCTTCTGTGGCTGCTGCTGCTGCGATTCTGCTGCTGCTGCCCTGCTGCTGCTGCTGCTGCTGCTGCTGCGGGCAGGGCAAGGCGATAGGCGCGGAGGTGCAGTGGATTGTGGACCACCTGGAAGACAGCAGCTGCTTCCAACGCACCGGCGGGCGGGGCTTCGAAACTTTCAAAAGTGATCGCTACAGATTCAAAGTTGCTGCGCAGCAGCAAGTTGCTGCAGCAGAGCAGCCGCCGCTGCTGGGCGTGGGGCGCATCAACTTAGGCGCAGTCCCGCTGCAGCGCTGCATCGACTTCCTCTCCACTCCCGAAAACAAAATGAAATTCGACTCTTCTTCCAACAAAGGTCACTTCTAACGCAACTAAACATTTAATTTCTTCATTTCCGACGTTTTAATTCCACAAAACGAAAAAAAATGAACAAAAAAACCCAAATTTGCAAAACCCGCGAACGCTGATTTTTCAGGTGTCTGTACACCCCGCGGTGGCGCATGCGCTCTGTTGAATTTTTCGATTTTTTCCGTTCTTGTTTTTTTTCATTTTTTTTTAACTTTTTGTTTCTAAATGAGTTTATTTATTGTTTTATTTGTTTATTTGTTGTTTTTATTTCCTGATTTGCCGTGTTTATTCCTTTATTTCCCTTTTTGCGGCCTCAGTCTTCACCATTGCGAACGACGGAGACTTTTCCCTCGTCTACCAATCCTTCAAAGGCCAGTGGGGCTTTTCGGGAAGAGATTTTGTCATTGCCTGCTGGAGCGTAAAAGTAATTCAAGACGCTGCAGCTCCTGCTCCTGCTCCTGCTGCTGCTCCTGCTGCTGCTTTTGCTGCTGCTGCTGCTGCTGCTGCTGCTGCTGCTGCTGCTGAGGCTGTGCTGCAGCGTGCTGCTGTTTGCTGCAGGTGAGCGAAGACAGGACAATTTTGTGCTGCGAGTCTGTGGACTGGAAAGAGCCAATTGAAGGCCAAGTCCCCGACTTAGTCCGCGGCGTGCTGCAGCTGGCTGGCTATGACCTGCAGCGGCAGCAAAACGGAGATGTGCTGCTGAGCTTCTGCGTCCAGGTCGGGGCTTTTTGCTGCTGCTTGCTGCCTGCTGCAGCGGGCTCTGGTGCTGCTGCAGCGGGCTCTGCTGCTGCAGCGGGTTCTGGGCTGCTGCCTGCTGCAGCGGGCTCTGGGCTGCCGCCTGCTGCAGCGGGCTCTGTGCTGCTGCGCTGCCTAGTCTGCTGCGCTGCTGCGGCGGCAGATCGCCTGCTGTTGCAGCAGGCGCGCTGCAGCCGCTGCTGCAGTCGCTGCTGCTGCTGCTGCCGCTGCTAATGCTGCTACGATTCTTGCTGTGGCGCTGCCGCCACTGCGACTGCTGCTGCTGTTTGATTCGTGCTGCTACTGCACTTGCTGCTGCTGCTGCTGCAACCACTGCTGCTGCTGCTGCTGCTGCTGCAGGCTGACTTGAAGACGGCCGGTGTGCCGGAGTGGATAAACAGCAGAGTGAAGGCGGAGCAGCTAACAGTGGTGAAAAGCATAAAGAATTGCATTCAGAAATTATAAATAAAAAGAAAAAGGAATAAAATGAAACATAAAGAAATAAAATGAACTGCATGCGTTTCGCCTGCATGCAACCGCATGCAGCTGTGGCGGGCGCTGCGGTGTACAGACACTGCAGCCGCCAGCTCGCGCTGCTGCTGCTGGCTTTTACTGCAGCTTTCCTTGCCTTGTTTAGCTACATGCATGCAAAGATGCATGCATTCAAAGATGCATGCATTCAAAGCTGCATGCATGCAAAGCTGCATGCATGCAAAGATGCATGCATGCAAAGATGCATGCTGCATGCATGCAAAGGTGCATGCATGCAGTGCTGCATGCATGCAGCAGCAGCAGCAGCAGCTGCCAGGGGCTTTTTCCGTTGCGATTGGTGGGGAAGATGTGCTGCTTTATTCTAAAATAATAAATTGAAATTGAATTAGAAACAAATTGAAAATAAATGCCAACTGGAGGGAGCTGCCCTGCAGTTTGTCCTTTTGCTGCTGCTGCATGCAGCAGCAGCAAAAGGCAGCAGCTGGGGCGGCTTCTTCTTTTCAGGTGTACATACACCTGAAAGAGAGGCTTGCATGCAGTGGACACTTTGCAGCGCGGAACAGCAGCAGCAGCAGCAGCAGCAGCTGCTGCTGCTGCTGCTGCAGTTTTGTTTCGGTTCTTTTCGAGGCTTAAGTAGAGCGGACAATCGGCAGCTCCGAGGGCCTCTCGGGTGTACATACACCCCAAATTCAAAACGAATAACAACTCTTATTTCCCGTCTTTCTCGCACAGCAGCAGCAGCAGCTGCAGCAATTGTTGGGGCATTCGTTTGCATGCAAGTGTGCATGCATGCGGCCTCAGGGGTGTCTAGACAGTTAGGGCTTTTTCTGGGGTGTATGTACACCTGCTGCCGACTCGCGCAGCGTCAGCACACAGACGAGCGCATGCAAATGCATGCAAGCGCATGCAAGTGCATGCATGTTAATTTATTGGGGCTGTTTGAGCGGCTGGAAATCTTATTTATGGCTTTGTTTCGAAGTGGGGCGGACTAGCGCAGCCAAAGGCGCATGTTGTTGCACATTAGAGCCCTTAATGAGGATCAAATTGCTTTATTTTTCGTTTATATTTGTTTAATAATAAAAATATTTAATTATTTTCATTAAATAATGCTTTTTAAAAATTAATTCAACGAGTTTGCCGCAACTTGAAACTTGAAGGATCTCGGTCGGCTGCCGCCGCCCAGGGGTGACCCCAGCAGCAGCACACTTCGCCCACAACAATGCCCGCCTGAAGAGTTAAAATGAATAAAATAATAAAAAGTAATAAATAAATAAGGAACTAAATAAATAAAAGAAAATAAAACACTTTTAATCCAAAAAAGAGGCGAGATCTGAAGGGTTTTGCTCACTGCTCATCTGCTGCATGCACGCCTGGCCGGGGCCGCAGCAGTTTGTGGCTGCAGCAGCAGCTTTAAATATAAAATTAAAAGAATAAAATTCAATTTTTAAAATTAATTTTATTTTTATTTTATTTGAAATCCAAAAAACAGAAATTTATTCCAAAACCGCCAACTGAGTGACCCTGGGGGCCCCCCGGGTCACCGCGCCTTCCTTCCCTCCCGTGTGTAGGGTTTGAGAATCAGGGTTTAGGGTTTAGGGTTTAGGGTTTAGGGTTAAGGGTTTCAGTTTTCGTTTTGCATCTTCGACTTGTCCAGTAATGTGCGCAGATCTACTTCATGTTGGCTCGCGCGCCTGCCTACTTGAACGAAACCCTAAACCCTAAACCCTAAACCCTAAACCCTAAACCTGCCTTCATTGGCTGTGAACCAGAGCTACAGCAGAAGCAAGAAAAGCCCCAAATGAATGCATGCATGCATGCATGCGCCTTCTGCATGCGTTTAATAAAGAAGGAGAATGGAGGGGGGGGCTATAGAGCTTCTTTTTCACGTCAGCCATCCCCCTAAACCCTAAACCCTAAACCCTAAACCCTAAACACTAATCCTACCCCGTAGAGGGATCCATCGCTGAATTTAAGGGCGAAGGATCGGACGCTCACAGTGCCTAGACCATGGGCTCCCCTAAACCCTAAACCCTAAACCCTAAACCCCAAACGCTAAACCCTAAACTCTTTTGCAGAATCGACTTCTGCTTTCTACTGTAGGTGCGGCTCGTATCTGGGGTCCCTCCGGAGTCAGCGCGACTTCAGCTTTCTGGTGTGGAGACACTCCTGCTGCTGCTGCTGTTGCTGCTGCTGCTGTTGCTGCTGCTGCTGTTGCTGCTGCTGCTGCTGCTGCTGCTGCTGTTGCTGCTGCTGCTGCTGTTATACACGTTTTTGTGACAGCCGTTAGCTGCTTCACTGAGGCTTTCCTTTAATCTCAAACTGCAGCAGCAGCAATACACCCCATATGTCAGCTGCTGCTGCAGCACAGCAGCAAGCCCCTCTGCTCTTTTGCTGCAGCACAGCAGCAGATCTTGTCTCACCTCGTGCAGCAGCACAGCAGCAGATCCTGTCTCCCCTCGTGCTGCAGCACAGTACCAAATCTTGTCCTCTCTCGTCCTGCAGCACAGCAGCAAATGCTGTCTCCTATGCTGCTGCAGCACAGCAGCAAATCTTGTCTGCTTTTTGCTGCTGTGCAGCAGCAGGTCTTTTCACAGAAGTTCTGGAGAGCAGCCCTTTAAGTGCTGAGCCCCTGGAGTTGAACATTAACAGAGTCTCTCTCAACGTTTGTGGGCAGGGTTTAGGGTTTAGGGTTTAGGGTTTAGGGTTTAGGGTTTCAAGTTAAGGGTTTAGGGTTTAGGGTTTACGGGAGCCCTGTGGGGCACTCTCTGCTTCTTCCCAAGTCCTTACCACCAGTCTATTTTACTCGACCGTAAGGCTTCGTATCTCTGCTGCTGCTGCTGCTGCTGCTGCTGCTACTGCTGCTGCTGCTGCAGCTGCGCAGACCCTGGACGAGGTTAGCCGCGGGCTGCAGGTGCAGCTAATAGAACCTGCTGCTTCTTCAAAAGAAGCTGCTGCAGTTTTGGCAACAAAACATTTAAATTTAATTCCTTTGATTCATGAGCAGCAGAAGATAGCGGCAAAAGTGCTGCTGTGTCCCGCAGCAGCAGCAGCAAACCCGCCAGTAGCAGCGGATCAAGCCGCTGCTGACGCAAAGCAGCAGCAGCAGCGACAGCAGCAGCAGCAGCAGCAGCAGCAGCGGCACCGGCAGGAACAAGCTGCTGCTGCGGCGAAAGGGACACCCAAAGACCAGCCCAGCTCCCCAACTGCAGCGGGAGCAGCAGCAGCAGC